TTTCAACTCTTGGCTATTGTAAATAGAGCTGCAATGAACATGGGGGTGCAAGTATCTCTTTGACACGATGTTTTCCATTCCTTTGGGTATATATCCAGCAGTGGAATTGCTGGATCATATGGCAGTTCTATCCAAAGTTGTTTAAGGAATCTTCATACCATTTTCCATAATGGCTGTACCAACTAACAGGAAAAAGTTGAAAGCTTTTCCCTTGAGAACGGGAACAAGACAAGGATGCCCACTTTCACCACTCCTATTAAACATAGTACTGGAAGTACTAGCCAAAGCAATCAGGCAAGACAAAGAAATAAAGGGCATCCAGATTGGAAAAGATGAAGTCAAATTGTCCCTGTTTGCAGATGACATGATCCTTTATACGGAACAGCCCAAAATTTCTACAAAAGTACTCTTAGAGTTGATAAATGACTTTAGGATCCTTGCAGGATACAAAATCAACACACAAAAATCATAGCATTTTTATACTCCAACAACAAAATAGCAGAAAAAGAAATCAAGGAAGCAAGCCCATTTACAATAGTCATAAAAAACCTAAGAATCAACTTAACCAAAGAGGTGAAAGAAATCTACAAGGAAAACTACAAATCACTGTTGAAAGAAATTATAGAGGACACAAAAAGATGGAAAGATGTTCATTGCTCCTGGATTGGACGAATTAACATTGTGAAAATGTTCGTACTTCCCAAAGTAGGTCAAACTCTTTAGCAAGGCATGCAATGTCCTTTTTTCCAGAATAGGGCCTGGCCTGCCTCTTAGGTTCATCTCCTGCCTCTCCTCATAGCCCCTTCATGGGGAGGCCCCACTGAATTACCCGGTGATCCCCTAACTTGTTACTCTCTCTCATACCTCTCACTTTTGCCTAAGTTCTTTCCTCTGCTAGGATAACTCTGACCATTCCTTGCTTTGTGAATACCATGTCATCATCCAAGACTCTTCTCAATTGTGCCTCCTTTAATAAAGCCTTCCTGTTCTCCTCATTACTCCATGCTCTGCCATCCCCACCCCTAGCAAAGGTGCTTTCTCCTCTGCAATGTCAGGGAAACCCTACATTATACATTTCCCTGTTTTCCCCATGCTGCCTAATAACCTGTTCACCTGCTGTCTCCCCTCCAGACTCAAAGCCCTTTAAAGGAAGGTGTGACATACTTAGCACGATGCCATAGAGTAGGTACTCAAAAAAGTTTGATGAATAAAGGAATGGATGGATGGATAGATTGATTGATTATAGGGAAATTAAAAGCTAGAGATGATAAGGTAAGTGATAGGAACTCTTAGAGATTCAAAGGCAGGGAAGTGGCATGATGAAAATTTATATAAGAAAATTTAAGATAGACAATTATTGTTTTTACTTTCCTTATTGTAAAACATCAAAAAAGTACAAATTTATTTTAGTCATTTCGCTTTTTCCAGGTATCTCAGTCATAACAGAATAACCTTCCTGAAGCCGGGTGTTTTTGAAGATCTCCACAGACTAAAATGGCTGTATGTGTAATTTATGTGGCATTTTATAGTGTTAATTTTATGTTCTAAAAATATGTAAATTAATCAATTTTTTCTCCTGGTTGGCAGGGTAATTGAAGATAATCACCTCAGTCGAATTTTCCCAATAACGTTTTATGGACTAAATTCTCTTATTCTCTTGTAAGTACTAAATTAAAGCAAATATTTCGATTGAAGGCAAAAACATGAATAAAAATTAATGGTTTAAGTTTAATATCATTAAACTTGGAATTGCTAAAACCTTAAAAAGCTCTTTGCAACTAAAAATTCTCTCTTAATCATATTCTATAAGACTATCTGTAGATCGAACAATTTTATAAGTTTTTCTGTCTTCTAGAATGTTAGCCCATCAAACTGAACACAGCCTCACTGTCACATTTACTTGAAATGTTCTTAAGCACAACATTACTGCCCTATGTTTTTCTTGGTAAAGTGAAAAAAAAAGAAGCATTAATTTAAAATCACCTCCCTTTCATGACCCACTGTAGAATAGCACAGGATTTTTTTTCCGTTACTAACAGCTCTGTTTCCTCCATATGATAACTACTATTTGTTGAAAAAAGAAGCATTAATTTAAAATCACCTCCCTTTCATGACCCACTGTAGAATAGCACAGGACTTTTTTTTCTGTTACTAACAGCTCTGTTTCCTCCATATGATAACTACTATTTGTTTAAATTTTATTACTATCAGGCACTTAAATATAACAGAACTAACAGAGAAAAAATTGGAGAGAAAAGACAGATAATTTAGTAGATTTTTATGCTTTCATAAGAATAATGATAACACCATGTTTGACTTAACATGAGAAAAGAACCAAAAAATGTGACTTCTTTAGTTTCTTTTCTTTTTCAGAGTGCTGCTGAATAATGTCCTCACCCATCTGCCTGATAAACCTCTTTGTCAGTACATGCCAGAACTACTTTGGCTGTAAGTTATTGTACTTTTTTTTAAAGAAGTCAGCTAAATTTTCTGGTTTTGCCTAATGCATTTTGGATATTTTTTTAAAAGGATAGGTTGTTAGAATCATATTGTATTTCCTCAAATTATTTTAGCATTTTTTTTATTAACACCCCAATTATCTAAACTAACTTCTCTAAATTCTCACTAAAATAAAACATCTCAAAAAAATACTTTGGATCCAGGAGAAGAGAAAACAAAATGAATGCCATGGTATCTGTATAATATTTCTCCTTTCTCCTGCCAATCTACTCACCTATTAATTTGGTGCAAAGAGTCATTTTAGTTTCACTCCTAAGTTCTGAATAATGAAAATATGATATTTAGCATTTATATTTAAAGGCTGGTTACAATATAAAATGTTCCATCCATGGAATTTTCTACCTAGTAGCTTTGCCTGTAGTAATAACTATCACTCTACTATTTAGAACTCAATTATCCAGTAAATTTGCCTATTTAGAATGCAGCTAAAAAGTAAATAACCAAAATAACTATTTAAAAGTTTGATCAATAAAACTGCATATACAGTATCATATGAAAACTCCCTCTGTCTCTTATTTTGTAGGAAATTCTCAAAATTTGGCTGTTTGATTTTTTGGTTCACAGCAGATTTGAAGTATCAAATTTAAAAGGAAGGGGAAACGTGAGAGTCAGAAACATTGATTATAGTGACAAGCAACAACTAGATAATAAAGCACAAGTGAAAAATGCTATAAAAACCAAAAATGGTAATTCAAAATATACTAATTTGGAGCCCCTTAGGGAAAAACAAACATCCTGAAAATTATTACTAAGTCCAGAAGTCATCTTGGTGTGACATACAGTACTGTACTGTATGTTGATGACGAACTAAAGTCAAAAAGGAAAGGGCAATTTAAGTTCAATACCCTTCATTGCAATTGAATTTAGATTCAAATGAATAAATTAACAGCTATTACATGCTCAGTAATCCGAACTCAGCAATGAGGCACAATTGATCAACACACACCTAAGGTAGTTAACAAATAAAAACCTGTGCCTTGAGAAAAGAAGCAAATGTGAGAGGTGTTATGTATGTAGCATAGCAAACCTTTTCTTTGCTTTTAAAAAGGCAGCAAAATTTATAACACTCTTTAGATAAAAATCAAAATGATCAAATTTATTACTAAAGAGATGCACTTATAAAAAAATTACTACTAAAGTTATCATCTGTACATTTTAGCTATTCAAAGCAACTCATTCCAGATGCATTCCTGACAGTCAATATTATCCCTTTAATACTAGCAATAATGTTTTGTTTTATAAGCATTCATCTCTTTTAAAACTACAATATTTTACCTTGCACAAAACCTTTCACTCAGTAAAGTATGAACTAGAAAATCTGACATATTTGTTGGCCAAAAAAATTTTTAATCTGATTTAGGAGAAAATGCACATAAAATAAAAAGACATATGACAGCCCGGGAAATTATGCTTACAAGATATATGACAGACAGTACATTAAAACCTTTAACATAATTCTTTCAAAGCAATAACAAAACTGTACTGCACACAGTATTGATGTTCAATGACATACCCCACAGATATGTACAATCATGTTTCAATAAAAATAAAGGAATAAATAAGAAAAAAAGAAAACTGTAAGCACCACAATAAAAGTTGGAAAATTCAAAAAGAAAGAAATGTAACTAACAAATAAGCATATGAACTGACAGGGCAATAGCCAAAGGCCAAGAGGGTAAAGTTTTATTTTAAGATGAAACTAAGCAAATGTATCTAATGGCTGAAGAAGCCAATATGAAGAATTTGAAAATACAGAGGACAGTGGGGATACATTCTACTTTTTTCTGTCCTATAAGACAGAAAAGGATGGAAAAATAAAATGTGATAGATTCATACACATACACACACACACACACACACACACAGTGCAGTAAAAATGAATGGACTAGTACTACTTCAATCAACATGGCTCAATTTTAAGAACATAATATGAGTCATAGAGAAAAAGACACAGGAGAGAACATATATTACAATTCTATTCCAACAACATTGTGCTTAGGATACATAAAGCCACAAGACAACATTGTTTCTTCTCTACCAATGAGAAAGAGCTTTATAATCTATAAAGTCATAATTTTCTGGAGCCCATCAGCAAGCACAGTGATAAGGCAGCCAAGCAAACAGATTCTAAAGAGTGACCAGGAGAGATGGGACATATATATACTATTTCACCTTTGCAAAGCACAGGGTGAAGAGTTGGCTGTCATAAGAGCAGGTACAAAGAAAACTGCTAAAATTTTACTAAACTTATATGATTAAGTGTGAGCTGGTGTAACACTTCAGAATAACTGGAAACCTCACACTCAAGAAGAGTCAGCTATCTCTAACAGGCTCTTTCTCACTGACCTCTACCAGCTCACAAGAAAAACTAGGAGTAAATAAGGAAACCAGAGAGAGTCCTCCTTGGTAGCAGACAAAAAACCTTATCTTCTTCCCTGGACTCTTTCCTCTTAGGAAGTAAAAGCTTTAAGCCACTGAGAGAGGGACAGGAAATCCTCTTGCACCCAGGACCAGACAAAGATCCAGTGCTTCCAGAGAAGAGGTAAAAATTAAAGCCCTCTACCCCAGGCTAGGGGCAGAAAAACCTTTCCAGCCCAGGATTCTGCACTGATACAAAGCAGAGGGTAGTGCCCACCTGGGTCAGGGCAGGAAACTCTTACGAGAGTTCGGCTTCTGGATATAAGGGGATAGCAATACTTAGAAAGCCCCATTCCCCCCAAAAAGCAAAAAAAATAGTCCAATGTCAAATTATAAAGCAATCAACAGAACCAGACCCAGCAATAACTCAGATATTATAACTTCCAAACAGGAACATGAAAATACTTATGATTAATAAGTTAAATGAAAGAGTGGAAAAGGTAAACAATATGCATATGGAACATATGGAAAATGACAGCAAAGAAATGGAAACTTTAAAAGAGAATCTAAAAATATTTCTACATGCTTAACAGCAGACTGAATAGCTGAGGAAAGAAATAATGACCTTGAATAGATCAGTAGAAAACTTTCAAATTGAAACAAAAAGAAAAAAGAGACTAAAATAAAGACATAACAGAGAATCCAAAGTTGTATTATTACATACTATAGAACAAGGATAAGAAATGCAACCCTAATTTAAAAAAAAAAAGCTAGAGGGGCTAATATTGGAAAACATATTTCAGAACAAGGACTATCACTGGGGATAAAAAGGGATGTCACATAATGATAAAGGGGTCAATTGGGCAAGAAGACATAATAATCCTAAATAAGTAAGCAGTATCAAAATACAGTGAAATAGCTAGCAGTCAAGGGATGTCATTTAAAACTGACATATCTATAGATGGATGATAGACAGACAGATAGATAATTTGATTTTCCTAAGGCAAACACTAATAAAAAGCATATAATTGACCAAAATCATATGGTGAAAGAGAGAGAGAGGAGCAGAAAGGAAAACAATATATATACTAAATTCATCATTTCTTACAGTTAAAAATTAAACAGTATTTTCAAAATAAAAAGAAGATATAGTGCATAGGGTAAAGTTATAATTATAAAGTTGACAAATAGAATATACAAACCTTTCTAAATATTGGAAGAAATAAAAATTTTTTGAAACTATTTGGTGAAAGTTTTTTAAACCTATGAAATTATATAATAATATTTTTAAATAGCAGACTAAGTCTAACTATATTAGTCATTTCAAAAAATGTAAGTGGGCTAAATTCACCTATTAAAAAGAAAAGAGACTGGGCAAAGAACCTGAAAAGACACTTCTCAAAAGAAGACATACAAATGGCCAACAGGTATATGGAAAAATGTTCTATATCACTAATTATCAGAGAAATGCAAATTAAAACCACAATTAGATATCTATCACTGCACACCTGTTAGATTGGCCAGTATTAAAAAAAAAAAAAAAAAAAAGACCAAGAGATAAATTTTGGCAAGGATGTGGAGAAAAGGGGACCCTTGCACACTCTTGGTGGGAATGTAAATTGTATATATATACCCATTATGGAAAAAAGTGTGGAGCTTTCTCAAAAAATTGAAAATAGAACTACCATATGATCCAGCAATTCCACTTCAGGATATATATCCAAAGGAAATGAAATCAGTATGTCAAAGAGATATTTGCACTCCCAAGTTCACTGCAGCATTATCCACAATAGCCAAGACATGAAATTAACCCACGTCCATCAACAGTGAATTCATAAAGAAAATGTACTATATATACACCATGGAACACTATTCAGCCTTTAAAAAGAAGAAAATCCTGTCGTTTGTGACAATATAGATAAATCTGCAGGACATTATACTAATGAAATAAGTCAGGCACATAAAGACAAGTATTGCATGATCTCACTTATAGGTGAAATCTAGAAGAATCAAACTCATAAAGACAGAGTGTAGAATGGTGGTTGCCAGAGTTGGGCTTGGTGACAAAGGGGTGGGGATGGATTGGGGAGATGTTGGTCGAAGGACACAAAATTTCTGTTAGACAGGAGGAATGTGTTCAGAAGATCTGTCAACAGCAGGGTGCCTATCATTGATAACAATGTACTTGAAATTTGCTAAGAGGGGAGATTCTTCAGTGTTCTCCAGACAAAAAAAATAAGCATGTGAGGCAATGGGTTTGTTAATTAGCTTGATTTAGCCATTCATATGGTAACCAAAACAAAAGAAAACACAGATAGACATACATAAGAAGTAAAAGATAATAATTCACTACTTCACAGTCCATGAAAGAGGCAGTAGAATCCAAAATGGATATGGAGAACTAAATCATATAATTAACAAGTTATTCCTAATTAATGTACA